GGAAGGAAAGGAAGGAAGAAAGGGAGTGAGGGAGGGAGAGAGGGAGGGAGGAAGGAAGGAAGGAAAGGGAGGGAGGGAGGGAGGAAGGAAGGAAGGAAGGGAGGGAGGAAGGGAGGGAAAGGAAAGGAAGAAAGGAAAGAAAGGAAGAAAAAGGAAGGAAGGAAGGAAAAGAAAGAAAACTAGGAGGCTTCCTCTTCCCAAACCCATCCCCACAATTGCCACCTGTGACGGCTGCCACCATGCCACTTCCACTTAGCAGACTTCATTGCCCACAGGAGAAAGCTCTCTCTCTCTCTCTCTCTCTCTCTCTCTCTCGTTACATTCTCTCTCCAGGTCATCTCCCCACCCCCATGAGCCCTCTTCCTCCTTTCCCTCGCACTGCCCACTACTTCTCGAGTCTGTGCTTTTGCACGTGCTCTGCCTTGGGAATCCTTTCTGTTTTTTACCACCAACTCCTTTTTTTTGGCCCCAATGTCACTTTCTCCAAGAAGTTTTCACAATAGACTTTAAGCCCCCATCTTAACCATCTTTGTATCCTCAAAAAGTTGTAGCCCTCTCCCCTAAAAGACATCCAACGAGTGTTCACTATACTAAACTGATTTAAAAGTAGTGAGTCTTTTCTTTTTACTGAAATTGACTTTTATAACAGTGCCAATTATTTCAAAACACCAATCTATTAACCTATTTTTTTCAATTTTACTGCTTTCCAGCTTTCTTCATAGCATTCTAAATGACATTAAGAAATGGTTCCTTATGTTTTTACAGTACTTTCTGGTTCATAAATTTGGATTGTCTGATTCATGCCTTGCAGCAATCCAGTGAGCTAACAAGGAAAATGTTCTTTTTTAACAATAAAAAGTTCAAAGCTAGTAAGCACAGGGGGCTGAGTTTTTAACCTTGGTCTTCTAACTCTCACCCCAATGTATTACTGTTGCTCTTATGTTTTTCTTTGTGTTGTTGTTTTGCTTTTATTTTGTACATTATCAGTTCATATCTACAAATATGTAGAGGTCTGACCCCAGGGAATACGACCGTGTTCTATTACTTCACTCAATCACAGAAGCAAGAACAATTTTATTTATTTATGAAGTCTTTGATTTTAGGTAGTATATTACAGAATCTTTGGTAAATGTACTAATGCCTCAGAATATGTCTTATTCATAATGAACTAGAATAATAGGCCCATAATTTTTTAACTTTAAGAAGCCTACAGATTTTTAAAAAATTGTATATGATGTTGCCAGGCTGAAAATTCCTTTGGTAATCTTCCATAGATTGTTTGATTGTATAATTGTTTTAATATCCTTAATGATGAGAAATCTGTACATGTTGAAATCATCAAAACATTTCTGGAAACTTCCAGAAGTGATTTTTAGCCTCTATGGCAAGGGGTCAAAATAGAAGTCCAAAAAGAGAAACACAAAAATAATAAAAACAGTCTTTATACTTCACAAACTTACTACACCAGCAGTTTGAATGATGAAATTCCAAAACTGTTTGAAATACATCATTCAAAATTCAAGCCATCCCAAGTAATTGTTTTGAAAGACAACATTCTCTTAGGTATATAAATTGTGATGGCTTTTAAATATATATTATCTCATTCCTTGTCCTTAATATAATATATGTAATAGTAATGATGTTGGTATCAACACTGGAACACCATGGAAAGTGTGTTTTTTAGTATTATCAGAAAATACAGAAATTACAAATATTTCTTAACAATAAAAGATTTATTAAGGGGTGCCAAAATACTTCTTCAGTAAATTACAAGGACTAGGGGGTATAGGCCTTAAAAAGACACCACACCTCTTGAGGAATAACTTCTTACATAAAAACATAAAAGTATTCCATCAACTTTGACATTCTAATTCAAAATTTCAAATAAAATAATGATTTTTGCATATAAATACATAATTCTTGTTATTTATAGTACATGTTAATCGACATTATGTTTGTCATTTTGAAAGAAATGTAAAATAGTATACTTATAAATTATACTTATATATGCAATAAGTCTTTCTTCTACATAAAAAAAAAACAGGATAATGAGACAGAGGCAGACTGAATTGAGAGGAAAGATGTATAAAAAAAGAAAGAAGAGAATTTTTTCTTAAAATTAGATTTTCTCTGCTAATAGGATTCCCTCCTAATCTTGTATAATAAAACCATTCACATTAACCTCTAAACATTTCGTACTGAAGAAAGTTAAGGAAACTTGAAATAGAAGTTGCTCTGTAAATTCAGAAGACCGACTGATAGGAGTGGCACCTGTGGTTCAGTGAGTAGGGCACCAGCCCCATATGCTGAGGGTGGCGGATTCAAGCCCAGCCCCAGCCAAACTGCAGCAAAAAAAAAAAAAAAAAAAAACTGACTGATAGAGGAATTACACTTACACGGTGAGCTATGACGTACCATTGAGTAAAATTCCATGGAGAATTTCAGTTCCTCATTTTCCCTCATAATTTTTATACTGCTCACTTATATAGAAGTGGTGCTCTCAGAACTGTTTTCTCCTGAGGATAATGTTGACTCAGACTCAATGCAGACAGTTCAGTCCCACGTATGCTCAGGGATAAAAGGCAATCAATTCTGAACTAGGTGAATATTTGAGAAGTTCTGTTTCTGGAAGTATTAGAGGTTAATCAAGTGCCCTGTTTCATCAATCTACATAGCAGGTAAATTAAGATTATTCTTTGTCCAAAATTTATGTGTGCGTTTGTTTGTTTTGATGCAGAAAAAAGTCACGCTGAATGGTTTCTTGGACACACTCATGTCGGATCCCCCGCCACAGTGCCTGGTCTGGCTGCCTCTTCTCCACAGACTGGCAAATGTAGAAAATGGTGAGCGCTTACTACTGAGCTTAATTACTACAGTGTCTAAAATTATTGAAATGAAGCCCTCAGGGCTACAGGTAGTAAGTCTAGATCCTTGCTGTAGGGGAGTCTACTTAGTGATTCTTAGTTCTATTTACAATAGAACAAACCCATCTTCCCAATCAGTAAGACTTTATGGGAGCACTGCAAATAAAGACTGTCATTTCTAAAAACTTACGACAGCCCATTGTGTTCCTCTCAGTGACAAGTCAGGTGTGACTGAAAGACTTAATACCATGGAAGAAGAACCTCAGTAAGGAATGTGACATTTTCTTGTGTCTGTTTTATATCTGAATTTCCAGTATTGGTATACGTGGCAGTGACTGTTTCTTCCCAGGTACTCAGCCAGGAATAGGTGGGAGACAGGGCAGAAAAATTAGGCAAGAAGGGTGGCACCTGGGGCTCAAAGGAGTAAGGCGCCGGCCCCATATGTTGGAGGTGGCGGGTTCAAACCCAGCCCTGGCCAAAAACTGCAAAAAAAAAAAAAAAAAAAAAAAATCAGGCAAGAACACCCTGATATCTCATGTGCTTCAAATTGTAATCTTTCAGTGATTGTACTTATATTAAAGAAAAGAATAAACAGAACTTTCAAACCATGCTTTTAAAAAAAAATGAGGTATTTCTAGGATAAAAGTAACTACTGTTGGCACATCCGAAGTTAAATATGATGTACAGTTCAGAATAAGATTTAAAGAAATTAAACGTGGAAACATTCAGTGCCTCCATCTAATATTTAGGTGTTCCTATTCATTGTTTAATGTAACTGTAAATTTCTCCAGACTTGAATAGAAAATAATTTATCCTGTATCTCAGATCTGCTAGAATTTTGACTTCTGTATATTTATTAATATACACTAGAGCTAAAGTTACCTTAATTTTAAATTCTTACTCAGAATTTGTTAGCATCTGATTTATCTCACTTGGTGAAATGTTACGAATTTATCCTGTTTTATGGAGAAAATTTTAAAAATAAACTTATTAGTTTCTTTGCAACCACTGACCTCGTAGTTTTTTTTTTTTTTAAACGCACAAGCAAGGGCAAGTTGAGCACCATACTATTATGCAAACTGAGCTCGTCATGTTACTGTTTACCATCCTAGAACTAGTCATTTTCTAATCATAAGGCTCTAATTTCATTCCCTCTCTCTCAGTATTTCCTGTGGCAAGAGATCAGTTTCTTAGGCGCTGTCCCAGGGCAGATTTGAATCCCACTTTAGTCTTTCCCAAAAGCCAGAAAAGGGAAGTTACGAAGCTTCTTTAGAAGAAAATGCGCCCAGAACTGGTTGTGTCTTTGTTTTTACACTTTGCTTTTTATCTTCATTTCTTCTTATTTGCATTATTTTTTCCTAGCTGGTTAGCCAGAGAAGAACTTTACCAAAGGCAAGAAGTGTAGTTGCCGTTTTAGTATCTTTCGCTTATAATATGTAGACAATTACTTGGATTTGATCCCTCATTAGCCTCAAATCTCAAATATTTTTACTCTGCCTGATTTATAATGCAAATCCTGCCTAAGACAATCATATTTCTTGAACTATCTGAATTAGAATTGTTTTCAGATAATTTACCTATCTTTGGGGGCTCTATTCACCTGCCTCAGGAAAAAAAAATCTCTTAAATGAAGGCAATACCACTTATTAAATAAACCATTAACCACTCCATTTTTTTTAATCATCTCAAAAGTTTTATTGAAGGCATTTGAGACCAGGTGTGGTGGTTCACATCTGTAATCCTAGCACTCTGGAAGTCCAAGGTGGGGTGGATTGCTTGAGCTCAGGAATTCAAGACCAGCTTGAGCAAGAGCTAGACCCCATCTCTAAAAAAGAAATAAAAAAAATAGCTGGGCATTGTGGCAGGCACCTGTAGTCCCAGATACTGGGGAGGCTGAGGCAAGAGGATCGCTTGAATCCAAGAGTCTGAGGTTGCCATGAGCTATGACACAATGCCACTCTACTGAGGGCAACAAAGTGAGACTCTGTCTCAAAATAAATAAATAAAAACATTTGACGAAATTAAACACATTTTCATGATTAAAAGCTCAAAATGGCATGCATTCAAAAGTATGCGTCTCCACATAATAAGGTCATGTAAACCAACTCTCAGATACTCAGCAGTGAAGCAATTTCACTGTTCCCTTTAGTGCCATCACCACTCCTCCATTTTTTAACTCAATGCTCTCATCCAGTTTTCCTACTCTCCCACCATTTTCCTTTCTTTTCCACTTCTTGTTCTCCATTTCTCTAATACATGTTCTTCACCCACTGGACAGTCATCTGTGTTCATTCCTTATTCTGTGGAGTCTTCCAGTGAGCTGTGCTGGTCTCCCGGACACAAGAGCAGTTTGGGTTATTTAAATTCTTTTAGTGTAGGAGACGAGAGTAGAAAGAGCAAAAGGCATTATACAGATTTGTGTTGTTAAAAGGTCACGTCTTCTCCATCTCATTTCATTGCTTCCTGCCCACACACATGGTCGAAACGGGTAGTCAGATTTCAGAAGCGAACTAAATGCTTCTTTGAGCCAAAGTCAACTATCACTTAGAATCGGAGCACACAGCAGAAAAATGCAGTACTAGGCTGTCCTGTGTTTTTCTGTATTCTGGTTCATACTTTAGTTTCCTTTTCTTCATTTATTTCCCCCTTAGTCTTCCATCCGGTTGAGTGTTCCTACTGCCACAGCGAGAGCATGATGGGGTTTCGCTACCGATGCCAACAGTGTCACAATTACCAGCTCTGTCAGGACTGCTTCTGGAGGGGACATGCCGGCGGTTCCCATAGCAACCAGCACCAAATGAAAGAGTACACGTCGTGGGTAAGGCGAGGTCCATGCAGGACTTACGGTTAGACGTATGAGTATCACTCAGAATGAAAGGGAATGTCAAGGGTAGTAAGAGAATGAAGGAGCAGGCTTGCCTTCCACCCACGTCTAACCTTCAGTCTCCCTTCCTGCCATCCCCACCTCACTGCCATCTCTTATTTAGTTTCTCTGAACCCGGTATGGCTTCCTAAGACTTAAAATACAGAAGACTCAAAACTGTGTTACTTCTTAGAGTACAGGTAACTCAGTACTGATATAAATAACAGCTGAACAGCAAACACCTTCTGGAACAAGTGTTAGATTCGCAGTGAGCTAAGGTGTTTTGTTCCCTTATGTTTTTGTATGTATGTGTGGAAACTGCTTAAACACTATTATTAGTTTCCCAGTTGTTTTAAGTGCATAATGGAATATTAAGAAGTGTGTGTGGGGGGGTGGACTTCATGATTCTGGCCCATTTTCCTTTTTTGCAGGGGCTTGGGAGGAGGGAGAGATTGTGGTTGTATTAGCAAGCTATCTTTTCAGGAATAGTGCGAGTGACCGACTTGGTAAAGGTGACGTGTGTCTGTGTGGCACCGAGTCTCTTGGAGGAATTCCACGCTCCCCCTGTGCTGGCTCTTCAAGCAGTTTGCAGTTTGCTGACCTCTGTCCTAGGTGCACTCAGAGATCAGTCCAGCAATGCTGCTTTCGTGGGTCTCCTCAAGGATTGCTCTATGCACAGACTGATTTTTGCGGGATATAACATTAGCCCTTGCAGCCGCTCCTGGAATAGTTCTATTACAAGAAAATGCAAACTTTTTATGAGTTTTTCTATATTTTAATGTAGAAAATGCAAACCTTTTGTTAGTTTTTTTATGTGTTAATGTATTTCAGTTCAACATGTAGTATTTACTTAAACAGTCACTTATTTTTATCCTGGGGGTTTTTTGTTTGTTTGTTTTTGAGATGGAGTCTCACTATGTTGCCCTTCATAGAGTGCTGTGGCGTTATAGCTCACAGCAACCTCAAACTCTTGGGCTTAAGCGATTCTCTTGCCTCAGCCTCCAAAGTAGCTGGGACTACTTTGAGGCACATGCTGCAACACCTGGCTATTTTTTGTTGCAGTTGTCATTGTCGTTTCGCTGGTCTGGGCTGGTTTCGAACCTGCCAGCCTCAGTGTATGTGGCTGGTGCTGTAACCACTATGCTGTGGGCTCTATGCCCTTCTGGTGGTTTTGGTTGTTTGTCTGTTTTTTAAGAAAAAAAAAGGTCTTCAGAATATGCATCTTAAATCAGAATGTTCTTGCTAAGAATCACTAAATTATTGGGAACTGAATGAATGAATTAATTTTAAACATATTACTAGTTCATCCTCTGTCATATTCTGAATTCAAGTAATAGTTCTTCAGTAAGGCAGTGTATACTGAGACCTTCAGGACAGTTCAAATGCCACCCCTCCCTGTGGGTGATGTCCTATGCTGAGGACAGATACACTGACATGGATCATGAACTAATATTTAGCTTAGAGGGTAGGAGCTGAAGCTTCCTTTTGTCTTATAATCAATATATTACCTGTTTTCAAACTTCTATCCCAGATCCCGGAGGGCTGATGTTTCTAAACTAATCATTTTTGTTGTTGTCTGATATAAATGCTGGAGCCACATTAGGAGCCCCTTTCCTAGGGGTTGTGGACTTAAATTACACGGCAAGGTACTGTCTTTACAAGAGGACAAAGGACGCTGTGGTTTATGAGGTGAAGAGCGCTGCTGTTTAAGTGTCCTGAGAGTTACGCCTCCTAATGGAAATCAAAGAGAAAGAGGGACTTCTAGAGCAGCACTCTTATTACTTAGGTTTTAAATAAAGAGGGCAGAAATCACTTCATTTTCTTACCAGCTATGGACTCTAGGCGCAAAAAATGTGATGAAATTATAAATGGCTTCTTATGGGAGGGAAAATTTTGCTCAAAGATTTATTACATGTGGTAGGCTTTTATAATTCTGACTGTGTAATATGAAGTTGAACATCCCACCAATCTAAATGAAAAAATGGTAGCATCGTGCTCTGGAAAGAACGTGAATTTTAACTTCTAAAGACTCAGACTGGAGCTTCACTTTACCTCTAACTGGACGTGTCCCACTACATCTGACACATCTTGCACCTGGATTCCCGCAAAAACCTCCTGCTCATCTCCTTTCTTCCGTTCCCATCCCCTCACAAACCATTTTGTGTTCTTAACTGGGAGCAATCCTTGTAGAATCAAGTCTGATGCTGTCACCTGTAATTTAGACTCTTCATCATCTCCCTCCGTCTTGGGATAAAGACACAGTCCTTGACTTGCCACAATAAGGACTTTGATGATGTGCCCAATGTTCCTCTCCAAAAGGGCTCTCTCCTTTCTCTGTCTTGAATGACTTTCACAGTCTCCTTAGTTTTGTCAAAAGGACTCCTTCTCAGCTCAGGAGTCCCCAGACTTCTTCCATTCATTGCGATATCTGCTGAGGCTGAGCAGCAGGAGGTAGCCAGCCTTCTCCTCCCAGCAGTGAGCAGACTTCCAGACTCACAGTAGGCACTCAGAAAGGACTTCTTGAATGATTGAATGAATGAATGAATGAATGGTCTGAAAAGCACTATTGATAAAATATTGCATCAGCGTTAGTTCTCGTCACTTCTACCATTCTTCTTCTTCCTAGAAATCGCCTGCTAAGAAGCTGACTAATGCATTAAGCAAGTCCCTGAGCTGTGCTTCCAGCCGCGAGCCTTTGCACCCCATGTTCCCGGATCAGCCTGAGAAGCCGCTCAACTTGGCTCACATCGTGTGAGTATCTCTGACCTCCAGATTAAGAGATGTCTTCCTTTTCTGAAAGGGGTCTAGATCCACACGAAGGCAATTTCATATCAGCTGGCAGGAACCAACTCTTAAAATTTAGTTGTCTTAAAAGAAAGAATCAGAGTAATGTCACTATGAGGTTTCCTTGTTGAGGTCTACAGTGCTTCGTCCCACTGTACAAGGAAAGCGTGCATCTCTAATGTAATCCCACTGAAGGAGGAAAGTATTCAGGTAGCTTAGTTATAAAAGCAGATGTGAGTGGGCGGCGCCTGTGGTTCAAAAGTGTAGGGTGCCAGCCCCATATGCTGGAGGTGGCAGATTCAAACTCAGCCCCAACCAAAACCTGCAAAAAATAAAAAATAAAAAATAAAAGCAGATGTGAGTGCGGTCTGTATGTTGAAATTTAACAATCAATACTTGCTATAATAAAAAAAATACTTAGACCATATTATGGCCTAACATGATATGATCCTTTAAGTCTCAAATATAAAAGCCCTTTATTCAGCCAAGCACAGTGGCTCATGCCTATAATCCCAGCATCTGGGAAGCTAAGGCAGGAGGATCACTTGAGCTCAGGAGTTGGACATCAGTCTGAGCAAGAGTGAGACCCATTCTCTACCAAAAATAGAAAAATGAGCTAGGTGTTGCGATGCTTGTATAGTCCCAGCTACTGGAGAGGCTGAGGCAGGAGAATTGCTGGAGCCCAAGAGTTTGAGGTTGCTGTGAGCTATGATGACATCACGGCATGCTAGCTGGGGCAATACAGTGAGACACTGTCTTAAATCAATCAATCAATAAATAAGCTTTGTTTGACTTCTCTGCAGACCCAATCATCTTAAAGATGCCAACCAACCTAGAAATCACTTTGGTTTTTCATCCCAAGCTACATAACTTTAGAAAACATATGGCAGGGGAAGGTAGAAGAGGGGGGATTGGTAGTAAAATTCATCAAAACATCAAAAAAAAATTTGGTCCAAATTATGTGTGACGTTGGGCCAGTGAATGGTGCTGCCACCTGTCCCCGCCCCTCCCACAAGCTTCCTGCTTTGGAGACGCTCTCCTGCCTGGATGACCAAAATAACAGGGCGCTTAGCTAGCAGAAACCATTTCCTGGGCTCAGAGGAAAAAGCAGCTCATTCTATGCTTCTGTGCACAATCAGGAATTAACGCAGTCACAGGCTGCTTCCTAGGAACCGCCTCGTGTGGCTATAAAGACAGTTCAGTGGGACCTACTGCGCCTGAGGGCCTATGTTTGCATGTTAACTAGGTAGATGGGTCAGACCTACAAATATTAGGAATTCACCCATGCAAAGTTCATGCTTTGGGAAGTTCAGGATATGATCCGTAAAAGGCACCATACAGGATAGGCCCCTTGTGAAAGGGTCTGACCAATCCACCTCTGTCCTCAGATGGACCTACCCAAATACCATCAAATGACTGACACTGCATCCTGCCTCTGAGCAGTGCATGAATACTCTGGGGCATTGTTTTGCTTGCTCTTTAGCATTTTTTTGAGGGGTCACTGACCTCAACAATATTTGCAATCTGGAGACTCCTGTTTCTCAGCTAATTTGTTGGCATGAGCGTCTAGAAACCAAAGTAAACAAATTCTGTAGACTGGTTTTAGTGAAATTATGCTTGTAAAATTAAGCCTTAAAATAAGCCAAAGATAAATCTGGGCAGAGTCCCAAAGGGCCAACCCCTTGCAGAATCTACCTCTTAGGAGCTGTTCTTATTTAGGTTTTGACTTTCCTCCTCATAGCCAACTAGAGACAATCCCTACATTGCTAGTGAATGAACATGACAAAATGCGAGCAAACTGTGCTTTCTGTGCTCAGCCAGGAACCTCTCTCCACCAGCTCTGCTAGGAGATTCACCCCAAGAGCGCAGTCTTTAATCTGAGCTGCTGGGCAGGATACAGGTAGACAGTGGATGCAAACGCCTGGCTCTAGGAGCTTTGCAATAGACAGGAATGAGGACGCTACTGCCTGCTTCCAGAAATAATAAAAAAGTAAACCACAGTGAAATAAAAGTTTGTTTCACGGTGAATCTCATTGGAGTATTACTCAGCCCAGGGCCTTGTACCAGGTAGGTACTCATGATTTGTGTTATGTGTGTGAGAGACAGAGTTATTTAATTGACTAGTGAGTAATAATTTTTAAATTTTACTTATAGAGCCAGGCATAGTAGCATGTGCCTGTCCTCCCAACTATTTGGGTGATGGGAGGATCACTTGAGACCAAGAGTTCAAGTCTAACTTGGGCCAACAAAGCAAGCCAAGACCTCTGTCCCTAATAAATAAATAATTTTTTTTTAATTTTTAAATTCTAGGAACAGGATGATCTGAGCTGTTATTCATTGAATGAACTGAGGGTAATATCTACACAATAGGTTCTTCCATTTCATTTCCATGGAGAAATTTGAAGATTTCCTTAAGATTCTGTACAAAATATGCCCTTTTCTGAGAAAATGAACATGTACTGAATCTGATTCTAAAAAAGAGTCCTGAATCAAAATGCTTATCAGGACTCACTAATAATATGTTTCTCCAGGGTGAAAGTTTTCATTTAAAAATGTAAGTTGTGCAATATCTTTAGTTGTTGAAATGATATACAAAAATCTCTGGATGCAGAATGTCTAATCTGTATGAGAACTGAATATTTTTTTCTATTTTCAGCCTTAGAAATTTTTCCATATTGGTTTCTTTATCCAAAAGCTGTTTTGATGAACGGCATTCATGGATCTCTTGGGGGTTTTGATGGGGATATTCTAAGACTTCTAATTTTAAAGCATATGACCAAGCTCAGCGGCTCATACTTATAATCCCGTCACTTGGGGGTGGAGACCAGAGGGTGGAGCCAGCCTACAAATAAATTTACAAATTAGCCAGTTGTAGCGGTGCATGCCTATAGTGTTAGCTATTGGGGAGACTCAGATAGAAGGACAGCTTTTCAGAATAGCAAGTCAATTTTTTTTTTTTTTTGAGACAGGGTCTCACTATGTTGCCCTTGGTAGAATGCTACAGTGTCACAGCTCACAGCAACCTCAAACTCTTGGGCTTAAGCGATTCTCTTGCCTCAGTCTTCTGAATAGCTGGGACTATAGGTGTCCACCACAATGCCCAGCTATTTTTTTGTTGTTGCAATTGTCATTGTTGTTTAGCTGGCCCAGGCCGGATTCAAACCCACCAGCCTGGGTGTATGTGGCCAGTGCCCTACCCATTGAGCTATGGGCACTGCCCTAAATTAGAAAATATTTTTATTACTGAAGTCTCCAGTTCCAGCTTTTAAACATGAAAAATGGCAAAAATATGGCACAGTCTGTGTAACTAAACTGACATTTTACAAGTAGCCTAAGATCCAGTAAAAGATGGGATGAGATTTTTAATCAGGTTGTGGTACTGCTGTATCTCACACACACACACACGCACACACACACTTGTATATGGAAATGAAGCAGGAGACACACAGAAAATGCCATTCCTTTACTGTCCCCAAGGGATGTTTATACCCAAGCAGTAGAGAGGCGCTGCCAATCACGATTAAGTCTCTAAATAGAAATGAGCAGGTGGTGACCTTTTGGTATTTTGGCGTTTGCTCTCAGCTATTGTATTGCTTATAAATGTTACCATGATTAACAGTCTCTATTCTATTCATTTTGTTTTGTTTTGCTGCCAAAAGTGATACTTGGTAAGTAGTTCAGTAGTCCCCAATGTACTCGTAAGGACTTATGTGGTTATAAGACACAAAACAAGTGAGTGACGTAAGGCTAGTTTGAGCCTTATTCTGCCTGTGCTGAACACTTTGGTTTAAGACAAGGTTGCCAATTTTATAAAAAATATTTCCTGTGAAGATCTTACCCAGAAAGAAAACCTTCTAGGCCCTTATAACTTACTTCATCTTGCAGAGATATTTCTTTTTCATAACAGTAAATATGTTAAAATTCCCATGTGATCTATTTATTGGATAAAGTAACCTGCCATTTGATGATGGAGGAAATAGGAACTTCAGACTCTCTGAAAGCTATCATTTTGTGTCAAAGTTAGCGATTCTAGTGTCCCAAGTTGGAAGTTTCAATGGTGAAGATGAAGCCGTTTGCTAAGAAACCATGATTGCGGCTTTGTAGTGACCAGATTCAATAGAGTACATTCACGAAGCGAGTTGGAAAGCATTCCAGGTCCGCTTGTTTTCTCATCTACTAGAGATGCAGAAAGTTACAAAAGTTAAGAAAAAAGAAACTCAGAAAAATGGGGCCAAGTTTATTTTTTTTCAACCTTCTGAAAAGCTACGATGAAGACATTTTATTCAATTCCCTTAAAAGTTGATGGACCAAACTTGTCATAATTCACAGAAGACATTCATGTAAAATCCGCATTATTCCTATAAAGCAAAACTGTCCAACGTAAGACAGAATTAGATTTAAACTGGGCTTGTGTTGCTCATTTGCCTCAAAGATAAGTAATGTGGAACACGAGCTTGTTTGCGGATCTTCTATCTAGAGTAGATGAAATAGTGAATCTGCTGTTTCGATCTCATCCAACAAATAAGTGTCTTACAAAATCTCAGCACACGGTTTGGCACCAGCTTCCAAGAAAAAAGTTTCAAGGAATTTTTGCATACAGTGCTGGCATTTTTAAAACCTGCAAAGCATCACGTCCACTCCAGTAAGTACATTGGAATAAATGAGTCTACTGTTTTCCCAGAATTTCCTCATTGTGAAATTCAGCTAACTCTGGTTCCCTAAGGTAAAAGTAATACCATTTACAAATTTGGCTCTTAAAGCAATACAAACTTATTGTTTAGGCTACTGTAAGGTCTCATCTCCAAAAGATTCTATGCTATTGAAGTCAAATATGGAATTATAGTGAAATTAAAATTTCCCCTGACTCAGAATGAGGCCCTGCCTCATCCTCCATCTTCTGACCTCTAAATTTTATCTCATATCACCATTTACTATCTTACACTGAATCTAAAGAAGACAAAAAACTTCTTGGAGGTAAGAAAGGGATCTCAGCTCTATTGTCTGAATCAAGAACTTCATGATAGGAAAACAATGATAGAATGAAATGAAAATAAGACCCCAGAAGACAGACCCTATCCACTTGGTGTTTAGAACCATGGAAAATTCTAAGGAATATTAAATCCTATTTTCTTTCTTTCATCATAAGAAAAAAATTATGGGATGCTTTGCACCACATACCCTATCGTATGGATCACCCAAATAAAAGAAATTTATTATAGTAAATCCTTGTGGTGGTTAATTGCATCTTCACTTAGAACAATGGGAAAATAAGGCCCAGTATGATTTTGCAGCCTGCGTCCTTCCAGACCAGGCCTGTTGGAAAGGGTCATTGTCATGAAGAAGACAGAAGAAAGTTTCCAAAGCCTCAGGAATCCTTCTCTTTCCGAGAGGATGAAGATGGTGATGATAGTGTTTTCATGGCTTCTCCCTCTGAGAGGCAGTGCACATAAAGTTACTGCTTTCTTTAAAAATCCTTGTTCCATTGGAGAGTATGACTCAATGAAATGCCAAAGCTCAAAGCTCATGGATAAACATTTCTGAGGTGTCCACAGATCTTCCTCCCAATGCTTAATTGAGATATGATATATGGGTATTCTCAAAGTAATGTAACTACAAAACACTTGAAGAATTTAATTAGAAAATGTAAAATTTCAGGTCGATCCTGGGCAAAATAGAATTCTGATCTTCTCATCCCCTTTCCTCAAGGGATGGTGGATAGTTTTCAGTTTGTCAGTTTTATTGGTTTTAACTTTCCGTACACACTCTATTTTGTTTTAGGCCTCCCAGACCTGTCACCAGCATGAACGATACCCTGTTCTCCCACTCTGTTCCCTCCTCAGGAAGCCCTTTTATTACCAGGAGGTAAGTTCCAATCCTATTCTAAAAGAAGCCCTTTCTTTGGTAACGAGTCATGATTTTCTGGCAAGGAAAACATTCTAATGAAGCCAAGCACAGGATATTATTATTGGAAAGTAGTTTATAAATAGCCATCATAAGTTTTCAATTTCATTCATTTAGATTCATTTAAAGAGGGCTAGGGTGGCTTTGGGGATTAATGTCATTTCTGGAATAGACATTTCTGTATTTATGATCTACCCAGAGTAAGAATGTGGGGTATGTCTCAGTTTTACTGTTGACACACATGCATTCTATCCCACCGAGAGTCACTTTCACAGCACTTGAAGTGGTCCGTTGAAGTCAAAGAACTGGAATGTCAACACACAGGGGCGTCATTATATAGATTCTGAAATATCTCATTGTTAAAAGCTCCAGATGGAAAAGATTCCTCCTCTTGGTAAAACCTGGAGCTCCTAAAGATAAAGGCGGAAGACCAAACTTGGAAATATAGTTTCCAATAAGTAATTACTCAGAGAATAGTAAGAACTTTAAAAAAAATTCTTGGATATGTATCTCATCTTTCTGCACAAGACCTACCCCCATGTGAGCAAGGAACCGGAGAAGGAAATGCTTCTCTAAGAGTTAGCATTAGACACACACAAGGTCAGAACGTACCCTAAGTCATTTGATCAACTATCATACATCAAGCACCAGAAAATTACAAAAATGCATGAAGAAGGCTCACAGGGAAGTAGAAACAAAGGTAAGGAACATTGGAATGAGTAATTGAACATAAAATTTCAAATGCCCTTCAGCAGAAGAAAATGGCCTCGTAATTCATGGAACACACGCAATGCATCTTTTCCCTGAAGAGGTATTTTAAGGTGCCCATTTCCCTATGATATCCTGGTACTTCTTACTGAGGCTTTGACGACAGTAAGGCTAAGAGCACAACTGATTTTTCCCCTGAATTCCTGTATTTATCCATCAACAGGAACCTGAAATGAAGATGTTCCCCATAATTGTAATAAACAGAATGTGGCAACATAGAGTGTTTCCAGTCTATAAATTAAGTCTATTACCAAGTGGAAAGGAGGAGGCAGCTGTGTCCACAGAGGAATAATTTGGTTTATGTCCTTAGTAACTTCCTTCTAGCACTGTTTTTTAGAACCAGCAGCACATGCAACACTTTTTTTTCCAAAGCAAAATCATGCACTGTGAAGTCCGTAAAAGACGTGGATGTGTACGTCTGCAGGGAAGACCCGACCCGATGTTTGCAAAGATGTGCTTTTGTTAAGAAGCTCTACTTTCTGCAGTTGTCAAGCAGAGACAGACCCCACCCTTACTGAAGGTCATTTTATATCATTTCAGCTCGGACGGTGCTTATGGTGGACGCGTCTAGATGGATAACATGACTTCTACCCTAAAATATTCCTATAAAGCTTTGAGCTGTTCTGGTTCCTCCAGGGTGCCTGGTACCCATTAACCCAAAATATGATCATTTCCCTTTTTTCCCACTTTCAGTCCTTTGGAATGTTCCCCGTGAAACACAGACATGTTGTTCAAAGCTTGCGGTTCTTTCTATGACCTCAGAGATTGGCTTCCGGTTTCTGTTTAAAGGGTGCTGTTCAATAAAGCTGTGTACACTGGACGTCTTTCCTCTGAGTGGGCCTTGCTCTGTCCAGGGGAGGTTCTAATGAGGTCTCGTTGTTTGGCCCCCTCAGGTTACCTGAGGGGATAAGTGCATCCAGCCCTGTGGCTGAAGAGCATTCCCTCCCAAAGCTGTATGTCAGTCAGCTTGACCACGGGGCACGGTCAGTATCTCCACCCTGCCTTGCTAATCGTAGTGGTAGTTCCATAGCTAGACTGACAGCCATTCTACTCTGGCACTACAGTCCTCGTGTAGTGTGTTTTGTTGGGCATTGAATTTCTGAGGTTTGATGAGATGCTGTTGAGAATTTCCAACTTGAGCTGGACTTCTCTGTTCTGTCCTCTCTTTCCCACTTGTTTTCCTGATTTTGTGGCCTCAGACCAGTGTATATGAGATGTGTACAGCAAGCAGGACCCAACGGATCTTGTTTGGACAAGTCTCCACTTGCACACAATTTGCAAAACCCCACGTGGCAATTTCTAAGACTCTAGAATTAAGGAGTTTCTTGGAAAGACCATTAGCGCTAACTGGACTGGGTGAGGCTAGGGCAATGCCATAGGACTGGACCTCACTGCAGTTAGACTTGGGGACTTGCACCTTTCTATCCCATTGGGTCTGGGCCATGTTTCCCCCCGGGGAGGGCAATCTGATTCCTAATGAATAGATATTTCAAAACCAGGTTCTTGTTCTCAGTGCTTATTTTCTATAACTTGATAAGACCGATGGTGACCCACTTTTATTTCTTAACCATGAGAATTCACTAAAGTGGATGGCATTCCATCGTGCCAGATGTAGGCAGAAGCTAAAAATTCTATACTTTCTGTAACTGGGACAGGACCAAAGCATTATGGCCTAGAGCTCTGTGCTCACCCCTACCCTACTCCAACTGCCTTTTTATAATCAAATAAAACCTAAGCAAGGCAAGATAATGCTGCTCAGTATTAGGGCAGCTTTGAGAAAGGAAGTTTGCCCTATTTTATTTAACCTGACTGTTCAGTCTTTGGTTTTTTTTTTTTTCTTCTTTCTTCTGTCTCTTTTTTTTTCTTTTTTTTTTTATTATTAAATCATAGCTGTGTACATTAATACAATCATGGGGTACAATGTGCTGTTTTTATATGCAATTTGAAATGTTTTCATCAAACTGGTTAACATAGCCTTCACGGCATTTTCTTAGTTACTGTGTTAAGACATTTACACCTAGTAAATTTCATATGTACCCTTGTAAGATGCACTGTAGGTGTGGTCACACCAATTACTCTCCCTCCCCCCGTCTTCTCCCTTCTATCCCCTCCCTCTTCCCTTTCCCCTTCTTGATATTGGGATATAACTTTCATAAGAAAGCTATAAATTGGTTTCATAGTAAGACTGAGTACATCAGATACATTTTCTTCCATTCTTGAGATACTTTGCTAAGAAGAGTATGTTCCAGCTCCATCCATGTGAACATGTAAGAGGTATTGTGACAGATCTTAGAAAGATAAAGCAGAATGAGGATGAAGCGAAGTTGCCACTCTTGAATCCTCACCACAAACTCCTGCCATTATTCACCTAGGGTCCTTTACAAGCATACTACTTTGATCGTCAGAAGGCACAAGGGTATATCTCTGAAGTCTTTTGACATCCCAGTAATCTACCTGACACAGGTTTATGAGTGTGTACCTCTGTTACCACCACCATCTGTCACACCCTCTTATGTCCACTAACTGTATGTCTGATTCACTTTTCTCATACTTAAAAGAAGCAATTCTCAAAGGCACTTTCCCTCAGCCCTTTGATGTCTTCCTGTGTGTGCGTGTGTGCGCGCATGTGTGTGGGGTGTGTGATGCACATGAATGTGTATACGCAACACTGGCCAACAGTTAGGTGGGATGTGGGTCACATAACAAAGTCAATGACAAATTCACCTCATTCATTTTATTGATCATAAACTGAATCTCTAAACCCAGATTGTTTTCTTATAAATTTGTAGGAAAGAATGGTTAAACTGATGGAAACCTGTCTTCACCACTAGGTAAAGAGCTCCAAGGGCTATGTAGGGCCATCAGCATTGGCTAAGCTTATAGATGAGAGCATATTATGTGTTATTGCAAATATTATTTCAAGGACTGACCACAAAGGCAGGCCCAAAAGGCCTCTTTCTCCCTTTTACTTCCCACAGCCAGGGGCTTTTTAAGATCTGTTATTTTTGTTGGTATCATGCCTCCTTTGTAAAATCTTAATTATCTTACCAAAATCCTTACTTAGTTTATACAAGAGAGTTAACTAATCCTTTCCAGTATAAAATAAGCTTCTTCATCTATGGCCTGTCTTTTTCCTTAGCAATAATAAAGACATTCGGAAAGCGTGAATGGTTAGTTTTTGTACCTCTGATATTAAAAACATCACTTAAAGGTTTCAAAGGTGTTTTCATAGTTGTAACCTGTAAAGGGAGAACCACTCACAAAAGCAATCACTTCAGCTATATATAGCATCTATCCAGATCTTATCACTCAAAAAAAGATGTTCAAAATGCTTATAATTTATACAGTATATTGAACAGAATCCAACATGCTACCTTCTGGTTTATCACAGTAAGAAGTAGTTAATTACTGATGATGTATTTGGCTCTGTAGTACTTATGGGGAAGACGCATGACCCACCTTAAGCTCTCCCCAAATTCTAATTCTGCTCAGGGGAGCAGCATTGTGAGTTGTTTTTGTTGGGTGACTGGTTGGCCAATGGTTGATTGATTTAGGTTTACAATCAAAGAAATTATAATTCACAATGTCTTTTTCATTTTTTTCAAACACTTTCACTCTCCCAAAAATTCTTTACTAAAAACCTAGGCTTTTAATCTGACTTACTAATAAAATGTTCAAACTGAGTTTTAAATATTTATGATTTGGTAATCAAAAGTGACTAAAATTAAAATTGAGATACTGAATTTAGCCATTGAAATCTAAATTTTCAAGTCAGTATCTGGCACTACCATGAAGATTTTCTCACTTTTCAAACATTCTGGGGATATTTTGTGAAACTTTATGACATTTGAAATCACCATTCTCTGCAGATAATTCTTTACTTCATGTAGCCCTAGATCTTCACTAATGTGCTAGAACTTCTTCCAACTTAAATTAAACCACTCTTCACACTCAACTCTAACAAGTTCCTATACTAAAATGTTAGTACACAACTAAAACCACAGTTGCCCCTCCTCTTCAAAAACCCATACTTATTCTTTTGCTTTTTATTTTTATTTTTGCTTTGGTTGGTTTCTGTGCATGCCTATACCCAGAAAACTTTCCTAGAGGCTCTCTTGGCAAAAATACAATTGTTATGGCTTGATGATATCTAGGGATAAGATAATCAGTACAGTGAACCACACTGTATGACT